AGCGAGCAGGGCTTCTGGCTGGTCACTGTGGACAGGTAAGCACCCCCCCAGCCCCCGCTGAGGGCCACACCAGTGACAGCCCGCACCTGCAGGCACAGTGCACACGCACACACTCGGACAGACACAGGCACGTATCCCAGGATGGTGGGGTGTGCGAGGCGACCACCCGGGGCACACCGTCGCCTTCTCCAAGAGCACTCGCCGGCCAGACCGCCTGTTTCCTTAAGACAGGATTCGGGAAACCTCATCAGCATTCCAGGGGCTCCGATTCCCGGAACCGGGCGCAACAACAGGCCGAGGGCGAGAAGCACTTGCCCCCTGTGCGGCCGGCCACACGGAGGCCTTAAAAGGAGTCTTTTCAGAAAGAGACAATAGGACTGACTTATGTGTAAACGGAAAAGAGAAATGGGCAGTTTTAAAATTCTTCCGTGTTTAAACACACATGCAGCCACGGGTCTACAGCTCCATCTGTCAAAACAGACTAATCCACGAATTCCAAGTTCTGATAGAAACATCTTCTCAAATAACTTAAAAAACCACCGAGACCACACACTCCCGGCTGAAACTCCCATCTACACAAACGCACAATATTTATAAACACGTCACAGGCAGGCGCTGAGCAGCGTTTACCACACACTCACTGTCGGGAGACACAGACCAGAGCTAATGAACATAAAACGAAGTTCGATCTGGGACTTGCACACGAGTGACACCAACAGACGGAAGACACAAGGGAGGGGACCCACCGCAGCTCTCCAACCGCCACTGGGTTGCAACACGTCTGGCCAGGGCCTGCGGTGGGTCAGTTCACAGCAGTCACGGCTCTCGGGGCAGTGACTTCCGAGGTGGGCGGTGCAGACGGGGGACGCAGGACAGGATGTCGTCCACCCAGAACACGCAGGGCTGTGCCTGCAAGTGCGGGTCAGCTCCAGCCTTTGGCTCCTCACCCCCGACCTGGGTGGGACAGGACAGCAGGAGGACAGGGCAAGGGGGGAGGGATGATGGTCTGCAAGCCCCTGCAGACCCGGGAGGTTCTTCCCGACTCACACCCAAAGCTGGGCATCTTCCCAGTCCAGGCAAATGCTGGCCGGACCCCAGGGGCAGGACGGTTCTACCTGGACACAACGCCTCGCCCTGGCCAGCCCCAGAACAAGAGGCTCTTGAGCAAGACGGTAGGTACAGCCACTGAGGTGTGCGCCCCTGGGTGCAGACTGGACCTGGGGTCTAGGAGCTGTCCGTGCTGCACGGCATCTGCTGGGAAGCCCCACCAGTGACCACACAAACGAGGTCCCCTCGAGTGCTGGACTCATCCCAGACAGCCAGCCCGACCTGTCAGCTCCCCTGGTGCAAGACCAGCGGGGGCTCCCGCGGGACTCCGGCCGAGGTGGCGTTGGTCCCGGCCACCCCTCCACGCCAGCAGCGGCCTCAGGGGATGCCCTCCTTCCTCTGGCAGCACTGAGAGGGCGGCGCGGACCAGTCGTAGACGTAGGAGAGGCGCAGCTGCACCTCCTGCTTGCACAGGCGGCCCTCGCGCGCCAGCGTCTGCTGCTTCTCCAGCATGTCCTCCAGGCTCTGCTTGTGCGTCACCAGGTACTGGTTGCTGCAGCCGCGGGACTTGTACTCGGTGTCGAAGCGCGGGTCGTGCTCGCGCTGCACGT